AAATCTTTCTTGTGACAGTTTCCTTCAGTTTAAGTGCATAGGGCGTGTTGTGAGGGTGACTCGGCGGGAGGGTGACTCGAAATGAAGGCGGAGGATCGAGGGGATAGTTTGGGATTGGGCCCATATGTTGCTTTGGAGTGCAATCACCGTTCTATATGTTAACAGTAAATCATCGTTGCTGAAACGAACCGGATGTGGCTGTGATTCTTTCGCAACCGTCTGACAACCGCTACACCTGCACCGCCCCGTTTCCTCTTACGGTTCGCGTGTTCCGGCACCTTCTCTCCTATCCCTGCAGCTTCGGTCCAATAATTCAAGGTCAAGTAGTTCTGAGGTAAGGTACGGTTCGGCCCAAAAGAAACACAATAGTGGTGAGTTTATTCAAGACATAAACACGTTGTGATGGAAACCATACATGTGCATTTTTACGATCAAAGTACAAGATCATATACGATCAACAATGTGTGCCAACCAGGTACCTGTGGTGTTGTTTGACAGCTATAATGATGGCTGTGAACAGGTCCTTCAGCGACGTAAGAAAAGTCATTCTATTCGCGCAAAAAAGCACGGGTGCCGAGGAAAAGGTTGCTTTCTACAACGACTGGGCTAGTAATTATGAGCAGGTAAGATGAGGATGTCATGTGCAGAACACTTAGCGAAGGAGCCTACAGTGGCCCTACTTACTCCCCTGCTGTGTGTCCAGGATGTCGGCATCCTGGAATATCGAGCTCCTTCTCTGGCAGCGGAGCTCCTGTCTGCCGCCTATCGGGGAAATAGGGACACGGCGGCCGTACTAGACGTTGCTTGCGGAACCGGGCTTGTTTCCTCAGAGGTGTGTATTTTTGTTAAGCATTTTGTTTTTCTTAGCGTCATTTGTTGATCGCGTTAATATTCCACATAATGGCATCAGTAAGTCATCAGTACAAATGTGAATGAACTGCCCCTCTCCTCCCCCCCCAACGGAATTATTGATTTACAACTCTGTACCTTCCCACGTGATGGACAAACAAAACTGAACTTAGCCCTTTGTTCCCATGCATATTGTCATCTACCCCACCCCCTCCCGTATTATTTGTTTGCAGCTGCATAATATGGGATTCCGTAACTTTTTTGGGGTGGACGGCAGTCATGCCATGCTAGATATAGCCAAAAGGAAAGGCCTTTACAAAGAGCTGAAGCAGTGCATGCTGGGAATGGAACCACTTCCTGTTCAAGCTGGTATGAACAATCCCTGTTCCTTGTATTTCAATGCTTTTGCACGTAGGTGTGATGTAAGGAATCCACAATCATTCCTTGCAGCCTGGTCTGAGCTTCCATTCCCCCACTTTCTCCCCGTGGCCTGGTTTCCACCACAGGGTCATTTGATGCAGTTGTTACTGTTGGGGCCCTCAGTGCTGGTAATGTGCCTGTCGCTGTTGTCAAGGAGCTGTGGCAGGTGGCTAAGCCAGGTAGGTGTGTCTGTGACCATCAGAGGGAAGGAAAATGGAGAAGTACATATGCATCAAATTAAGTCGTTCCTGGGAACTATAATATTGTTGCTGTCTGATGTAAACCACATATGTCCACTTTTTGACAATTGCTTTTAATTATAGATGGAATCACTCAGTCGCCTCTGTCTACTGACTGTGGTTAACAATTCAGTTGACCAATAAAAAGATGTTGTATGACATCTGTTTAACTGGTATTTATGTTCGTACCAGTTAACCTTAGTATCATTTTATATCACTAATTGCAACAACTTCATGTTGATAGTTGCATAGGTAGCAACTAACATCATTGTTAATTGTAAATATAAACCAAGATTATTGAGCATCTCGTCAACACTGATGTATTTTTGTCTCTATGACAACAATCCGCAGAAGTTCATCTGAAACATGAAACCGGTCACTGATAGGTTTCCTGAAATAATGGATTTTTGGAGATGCATGTTTTGCATATGTGCATAAAATGATGTTCATGCTATAGCAGTGACTGTACGTTCTGTGATGCTTCATTGATGTGCCCATGCAGGGGGCTATGTGTGCATAACAACGAGGGGAGATGTGGACAATCTGAAGTACAGGACTGAGTTGGAGAACACCTTCGACAGCATGGTGCAGGATGCCCTGTGGGTGCAGGTGGATGTGAGAGAAGTGGAGCAATGGGAGAGGGCGGTGTCAAATAAGGAGGCAGAGCACATCCCTGGGGTAGTGTACCTGTACAGGAAGTCATCAGATTGAGGTGACCTATCAACAAGGGAAGAGTTTGACGTCTTTGATCAGGGGCTTGTGATCTTGGCGTGATTTAATAATCATGGGAACAAAAGGGAGTTTTTTTTTTTTCTACAAATCTCTTGAAAGTTATGCTCCAAAGATGGCAACCGTAGCAAACAAACCCACAATGCCTTGCATCCTGACATCATCGCCATGAAAAATTCACTCAGACTACAAGAAACTTTACATACTTGAACATATCCACTGCGAAGGGGGTGATGTAAACCAGAGGTAGGCAACCTTCATCCTGGAGTGCTGGTATCTTGCTGGTTTCCCATCCCAGGATGCTGGCACTTCAGGATCAAGGTTGCCTACCCCTGGTGTGGACCATATGTGCTTTATCTGTCATTAAAGTCAAGTTTGCATTGATTCAGAGCTTGATCCAGGGTGTCCCTCACCCAGTAATGGCCTTCTGTCATTCTTTATTATCTTTTGTGATGTCTTAACACTAGAACTACCAAGGTGGTCATTTTGACCATTTTAAAATATTAAAATGCAATTACTTTTTAAAAATAAAACCCACATAACTACGGGACCCTGACCTCCTCAATGTGTGTATATTTTATCCTAACACTGTTATTTTATCAAAATTACAAAAAATAAGAGTTTTGAGGGTTTCTACCTAGAATGGCCATAGCGCGGTCATTTTGACTTCTACCGCTTTTATTGACCGCTGTATGTATTATACGTTTTATTCAGCGTTTGCTACTTTTTCCCGCTACTGGAGATTTGCGCCACTGTTGCCTAGCAATTATTATTTTTTCGCATCCTTTCAGACTTTAGCTTTAGTTTCGTACTAAACAAAAGAAAGAAGTCAAAATGTCATCGAGAAGGAGAATGACTGTGGCCGAAGTTTTATCTGAGCTTCAGACACTTGATAAGGCTGAGTCTGAGGGAGGAGCAGGATCGGACACTGACAGCTCCTGGTCTCTTGAGGGCTCGTCTGATGCTCCCTCTGAAAGTGATTCATAAAGTGTTTCAGAGAGTTCCTTTTGTAAAAAAAAGACGTCTTGGCTCTTCCAGTTCATCATCTGCTGGAAATGCATCTAATGATATTTCAGGTAAATTTCATAAAAATACAAGCTTATTATTATTATTAGATTCGTTTTATGAGTAGTAGTTACATACAGGGTTCGTACGGTCATGAAAAACCTGGAAAAGTCAGGGAATTTGAAAAGAGCAATTTCCAGACCTGGAAAAGTTTTGGAAAACGAATTATACACGTAAAGTTATGGAAAAGTCATGGGAATCTGATTCATAAGTAGCAGTATAATAAAGTAAATAATTACGTTAAGATTCGATGAAGATTTTTTTCAAACATTAAATTTCCGCGCAGGCGCTCTGGGTGGGGTTAAAAACGTCAGACGCGAGACGTAGTTTTGTGATAATGCGCGGGGGAGTTTCAGTCGCAATATGCCGGGTAAATGTCGCTTTAACAATAAATGGCTTCACTTGGATAAATATAAGACATGGCTTGAAAAAGACAAGGACCCAGGACGTGCCAAATGTCGACTGTGTAGTAAAACTTTCGACATATCAAACATGGGAGAGGCAGTCCTATCTAGCCACGCAAAGGGGGCTAATCGTGCATTCCATTTGCCTCGGATTCCGATTTTCGGAATCCGAGATTACGTCACATCCGGTAAAA